TATAAAGAATAACCAAAACAATCAAGTGTATAAAATAGAAAGTGAAAGCATACCTTGCATGGTTAAAGTTTGATATGCAGCATTTTAGATTTTTACTGCATATATATGTTTATATAGAATTTTTAAATGATTCATCCTGTATGTGTTATTCTACAACTTGCATTTTCCCCCCATTTGATGATATTTTGTGGACATTTTTTCATGTCAGTTCATAGAGTCCTACCATGTTCTTTTTAGCAGCTATGCAGTATTTCTTTGTGAGGATATGGTAGAATTTCAATAGGCCCCTGTTGATGGAGACTTGGACAGTCTTTTAACCCTTTGCACTTGCTTGCTTTTTTCTCGATTCCTTTATTCTACCCGGGATTTAATTTTTTAAATACCCCAGATTTGGACAAAGCGCGGCAGTAGAATAAAAAGCTGGAGTTTCTTTTCATACAAACTTATTTATTTGGCTGTTTTTACATTTCAAATTATTGATACATTCAAAGAGTAATTTTAATCTCTATAATTTTTGCTAACCGTGTCGAGTCACACTCAACATCCAAGGGCAAAGGGTTAAAGTGTGAATAGATGTTCACAAACAGAACAGGGAAGCACAAGAGACAACTCTGAGTTAGGACACGTGAATGGGCCGGAGAGTAGTCTGTACTTCTGGACAACAGTTGAGTGTGGGTCAAGTGCGATGTTAAGTAGGGGGATGGAAGTGAGGCCTGTTGAGGAAGGCTTGCACAGACTCCCCTGGGGAGTCTGGATGTTTTTCTGAAGGTGACGGTGGTGAGGGATGGGGGCATTGAAGGATTTTGATGAAAGATTGAAGTGATCAGACCTGTATTTTTCCAAGATTGCCAGGACAGATATGGGTGGATGGCATTGAGGAGAAACTGAGGGCAGAGAGCCCACTTAGGCTGCTACTCCACCAGTCTGGGCCAGAGAAGATGGGTGGAGAGGAACATGGTGGACCAGGGTCATGGGCACCAAAAGGAGAAGGCAGAGTCGGGACGCATCTGGGTTGGTGTTGATGAGATGTGGGGAATGGTGGGAAGGGAAGGAGAAGTATGGAATCTGACATCTTACCCAGGAGACTGGCTGGACCATGCTGCCATAAGCAAGAGAGTACACAGAGGGCACCTTGAGAGAGAAGCTGAGGAACTCAGTTTTGTACTCTCTTCCTCTGCTTTGTCTTCCTCCTGTGCCACTTGATTAAAGGAGGAAGCTATCCTCACCGGCACTTCCAACACATCTAATTGCCCCTGATGAAGCCAAATGCTAATGATTTTACCAATGGCCCTACAGTACTCAGGGAGAGTTGATCTTTAGCTGTATTGCTGTGGGTTATTTCAACCTAAAATGTTCTTCCCTCACTTTTGTTTGAAAGACAAATGTTATCACCAGCGATCAGATGCACATGTACTTGCATTTTCAAAGTTTGAAGAGCTGGTCAGTCAAGACAAAATCTTCTCCATGTTGCCCATGGGGGGAGGTTTTCAGGAGTCCTGGCCTAAGGGGTGACAGGGGCCCGAGGAGCCCAGGAGCACTTGGCTAGTGTCAGACCAGCTGGGGCAGGCGGGAAGGAGCACACTCACTGTTGCGCAGTTACAATCAGCGACTCCTTCTTTGTGTAAAATGGTAATGAGGCCATTAGGAGAGGCTCACCTGAAGTGCAGCGTTGTGAATCCAAGGTAATTAAACACCTCCGGAATGAAAGAGAAAGGCCAGGGAAGGTTAAGTGAGGAATAATCTTCGGCACAGGTGGCCCAACGCCTTTGAGGAGGCAGAAGAAGAGCGACAGTGGCTTGCGCCATTTCAAAGGAAATGTCACTCTCATCCCTGGGAGGGGCAGAATTTTATTATTTGGGGGGCAAGGAATAGGTAATATTTTTAACATTTTAATACAGCATGTTTCTTTTTCATATTTCTATTTCAAGTAGAAAGTCCACGGCAGTGTGCCTGGGTGCTGAGTGGCCTACATAGCTCCTCGTGGGCTCTCACCACTGTGGCACTGGGGCTTATGTGTCCCAGAAAAGCAGAGGTCACAGTAAACCAGTTACATATACCCAGGTGTTGAGATAGACTCCAAACTGCTTCCAGAGGAAAATTGTTTTCCGTGGCCCACATTGGAGCAGGGCTGGGTAGCCACCCCCAGGGCGTGTTCCCATCACTCCCTGCAGCGTGCCTTGCAGGCACGTGGCACCCCTAGCAGCAGCGAGCATTTAGGAATGGCTTGCTATGTGCTAAGCAAGCACCGTGCCCTGTGGCTTCCTGCGCCCTGTCAGCTTATCTACATTATGTAAGGTCTGGCCACAGAGGAGTTTTGCTCTTCAGGTTCTCACCGCAAAATCTCTGTTGTCTTCACACAAACGCTTGCACGTGGATCTTCACAGCAGCTATTGTTCATAATAGCCACAAAGTAGAAATAGCCCAACTGTCCACCAGCTGATGAACAGATAAATAAAAGGCAGTCTATCTGTACAAGGGGATATTATTCAGCCACAAAAAGAAATGAAGTACTGACACGTGCCATAACGTGGGTGACCCTTGTTCATTGTGAGCATTGTGCTAAGTGAAACAATCCAATCACAGAAGACCACCTATCGTTGATTCCACTTTTGTGGAATGTGCAGAGTAGACAAGTCCCTGGGGCCAGAAGGTGGACTGGTGGTTGCCTGGGTTGCCGAGGGCTGGAATGAGAGTAGAACTGGGGGGGATTGGAGAGTGACAGCTAGTGAATAATTTCTTTCTGGGATGATAAAAATATTCTGGAATTAGGTAGTAGTGATGGCCGTACAACCTTGTGACTACAGGAAAAACCAATGAACTCTATACTTTAATTGAATGATTTTTATGGCATAGAACTCAATAAGCTATTAAAAATTTCCTTATCAGAAGCTTGGCAACAAAACATAATGTCCATAGATCATTTCTAAAGCGGACGTAGTCCATCCTACATCAGTGATTCTTTGTATTTGTAGGCTCACAGGCACCTTCAGGAATCTGAGGAAAGCTATGAACCCTATGCCTGGAAAAATAATCATCACTCATTCATACTACAAATCTGTAGATGATTCATAGGCCACCTAAATCTAATTTTCTATTTTATCTTGAGTTTTATTCCTGGTTTTTTTTTCCTTCCAGACAGGGTCTGCTCTGTCGCCTGGGCTGGAGTGCAGTGGCACAGTCATAGCTCACTGCAACCTCGAACTCTTGGGCTCAAGGGAATCCTCCTGGCTCAGCCTCCTGAGTAGCTGGGACTACAGGCATACGCCACCATGCCTGGCTAATTTTTTTTAATTTTTTATAGAGACCGGGTCTTGCTATGTTGCCAAGGCTGTTCTTGAACTCCTGGCCTCAAGTGATCCTCCCACATCAGCCTCCCAAAGTGCTGGGATTACAGGGATGAGCCACCCTGCCAGGCCCTAAGTTTTATTCTTCAGCAATGTCAGACTCTTAGTTCTATATCCAAGCCCCTTGCGGAATTTCTTGTCCTGAAATGTGCTCTTGATATGTCACATGCATGCTTAAAAACACTCATTAGCTTCCTGTTTCTCTCAAGATGAAGGAAAAATCCCTGCTGGCCCCTGCCTGTCTCTCCAGCCTCATTTTAAACCATATTTCTCCTCATTCTTTCCGCTGAAGCTGCAGTTCTTTCTGTTCTCTGAACACCTCTTTCCTACAGGGCCTTTGCACGTTACTCCCCATGCTTAACACACTGTTCCCTCCACTCTTTGCCCACTTAATTACTTTAACTCATCCTTCGGATTCCAGTTCAAGCCTGCTCCCCTCCAGGAAGCCTTCCTTGACCTCCTTGGCAAGCTCTATTATAGGCTTATCACGAAAGTGAGGTCCCATGTTTTTTTCTTACTAGAATGTCACCTGAATGAGGGCAAGGCCTGTTCTGGTTTCACTGACCATTGTATCCTCAACACCTAACATAGTCCTAGGCATGGTAGGCAATGATAACTATTTGTAGAGTGAATGAATGATTCGAGGTCACTACATTGTGCAATTTCAGGGACAACTTTCACATGGAACACAGCGTGAATGGTGTGCTCTGACATTTGTGCAATATGGCATCCTGAGATGAATGAGGGGCCTATGAGAAAGTCTTGATGTTATTAGAAGCTTGATGTTGTTGTTGATGTTGAGGGCAACAGGTACCATATTATAGTCTCTCTAACGTTGACTGATGGGAAAAGGCCCTTTTAAGTCTCACTTACAGGAAAATCTTTATTCATTTGAGCAACTGGTTTGTTTTTAACACATAGACCCAGAGACTCACAACTTTTATGTTTCCCTCTTTGCTCTGACTACTAGGAGGCTCTTAAAGCAAATTTTGAATCTATTTCTAGCCCATGTAAGACTTTCTAGCTTACATTTATATACTAAATCTACTGTCAGCCACTACTTTCTTCTCCATTGCCATCACTTTTGTATCTATTTTGTTTTAACCTGTTGAGTATATATCTATAAGCCACTATTCCTTTAGAGTGCATGTGAGGTAGATAAATAAGCCTTTTATTTTTAATACTTGCAAGTAGTTTCAAGAGGGAATGGAATTGGAACTAAAAGTCTTTATAATTTGGGCTCAGATTACAAGACTTTGAGTCAAATTCTAGCTTGGCCACTTCTTGAGTTTGTTCCTAGTATGTAACCTAACCTCTCTGAGATTATTTTATCCTTGTAAGATGGGAACACTAATCCTTTCCTCACCGGATTGTTGAAGGAATTATTTGTGAAAGTACTGAACCTGGCATGTAGTAAGTGGTTAAATAACAGATTTTTTTGTTTTGTTGTTCTTAGACATTTTCTAATAAGAGCAACACTCATTTCAATTTCAAAAACATGTCCTAATATTGAACACAGTTTTGTTCTGGTACCAGGTGAGATATCAAATCAGTACCCCCTTCATGGGATTTCTAGGGTTCCATGTGTCCTGGGCTTATCAGCCATCTTCCTTTGACCCTGTCCTCAGTATGTGTTTCTTTTTTGTCCATCGCCAGATTTCTTCGCTGAAGAACAGGCTGAAGAAGGTCTCCACGACCACTGGTGATGGTGTGGCCAGAGCGTTCCTCAAGGCCCAGGCCGCTTTCTTTGGGAGCTACCGGAACGCGCTGAAAATCGAGCCGGTGAGTAGCCTGCTGGCCTGTTACAGAGCCCATGTTTGGTCAGGGCCCATACTCATACCTCAGGGGCCACAAAAAATCCTGTGACTCTTCTAGTTTTTGAATTCAGCAAGAAGAGGCTGTATATGTGTTTGTGGTGGAGAGTCGTGGGAGGGTGTTCTCTCCTTGCGTTACGTCTTAGCACAAGGAAGCTGTGCCGTCCTGTGAGACACTCATTGCTCGGTGACTGCTGAGACCTTCCCCCGCCCCAGCCGGGATGGTGACCACCGACTGCAGGTCAGAGACATGCCAGGCCCTTCACACTCACCTGCTGTCACCGAGGACTTGCAGTCACCTGTGGAATGGGGGTGATCAGCTCCACTTTACAAAGGCGGAAACTGAGACTCAGAGAGGAGGAATGACTGGCCGTGGGAGGAGCCAGATGGGCCGAGAGCCCTGCTTTCTCCCGCACCTTACCGCCCCTGTTCCTCAACAGGACCTCTGCTCATACTTGAGAAAGCAGAGCATCCTGGGAATTCATATCTTGGCGAACATGACTACAAGACACATGAGGACTGGGCCTCCCCATGGCCCTGCCACCTCTTGGAGCCTCACTTCGCTCATCTGTGTCCCTTTCCTGCCTAATGAGGTGATTAGTTATAGTGAGGATGCGAAGACATCAGGTCTTCCCTGAAACCAAAGACAGTCCTAGTTCTCCCAGCTGCAGCAAGAAGCTTTTGTTTGATATTTCTCTACTTGGCCTCCTCTTGGCCTCCAGGCCAAGGAGAGTGGAGAATTTAGCCTAGGGACCTGGTCACCCTGTGGAGGAGAGAACGCTGGAGGCCACCTTGCTGACGGGCCTCTTCTCTCAGGAGCACGGGGCTCCCTTCCTCCTGGGCCTGTGAGTGACTCAGCCACACCCAGCCTAGTCAGAGTGGGACACTAGGAACCAGAATGGGTTGCATTGCCTGTAGGCCAGGGCTGTTCATTTCTGTAATCCATAGCATTTAATTGAGATGAAATGACAAAAGATGAGATGTCAGGCAATGAATTTTATGTAGAAATTCTGAGAATAAGCTGGGATCATACTCCTTATAAGCCACAGTTAATACATTGTTAATACACAGTTAATACTTTTTTTACTGCCGTGACTCCATGGTGTGTCTAAGTGAAATATAGAGTAATAGCAAACACCTTGTTTTCCCTTCACCCAGGACCTGTCTGTGGAGTGGCCAGGACAGTGAGTGTTCAGGTACTAACACCACCCTTCTCATTTCCCATCCAGCACTTAGGCCTGACCTTCTAGGCTGCCTGAGCTCCGGGCAATGCCACGGTCACGTGGTCACATAATACAAGGGATGCTCTCTCTTTTTGCTTTCTGAGAAGTATTTCTCTTACTTTCTCTAAAGCCCGTCAGCTTAAAGCAATATCCTGTGCCCTGCTTGTCTCAAAGTGAGGTGGTTCCCATTGTTTGTGATGATCTCAGACCCAGCCAAACCAATCAGGTTCAGCATTGTTTTAAGAGTTGGCATAGTTCAAGGAAAACACTGTTGTCTTCCCCTCTCTAATATGGGAATGGGACAGACTATTGATTGGCCCAGTCCTTTCCTTGGGCTGCTGGGAACTGACAAACTTGAAGTATTTTACTCTTATAATCATCTCCTTGTCAGTCTGTATGCATCTAGAATTCAGAGGCTGGTGAATCTTTGTACATAGCACTGGGTACATGATCTAGGCACAAGTGACTCCACAAGAGGAGTTTGTAGCTGTACTTGCACTTGGCTCTGAAAGGCACTGGCTTTAAAGACAGAACCCTGGAGTTTAAAGCCAGCTCTATACTTCTTAGCTGCATAAAACCTGAGCAACCCACTTAATCTGTTTAAACTTTAGTTTCTTCACCTGCAAAATGAGGATAAGACTACCTTACTTTTCTATATCTCCAAGTTATTATAAGGATCAAATGAGCCATAACACATCTCGTAAGAAAGGTGAAACTTGAGCTGGGACTGATGAGCAAGGTTTGGAAAAAGACAGACAGAAGCATCCCTGCCTGCAGTAGGTGTGGAGTGAACCGAGGAAGCAAAGGCTTGGAGACAGGACCCAACGTGGCCAAGGAGGGGGCCGTGTTGTCTGGAGAGATGGGTGGAGGGTGCAGGAGAGGTTGCAGCCAAAATTTGGCAGAGCCATGAACACTAGGCCAAGAGTGTGAACTTCACCCTGTTGGGAGTGTACGTTTTTGAGCAGAGATGTGACATGTCTGAGGTCAGGTTTGAGCAGCACCACAGTGACAGCCTGAAAGAGAAGCTGGAGGCAGAGAGACCAGTTGGAAGAATCTTAAGGGAACCAGAAGGCCCTTGGGTGGCTACTCCAGGAACAGCCACCGTGAAGGAGTAAATGACTAGACTCTCAATAAAGGGTAGAATGTGGGAGATGAGGGGCAAGAAGTGTCAAAATGTCTCCAAATGATTTGGAACTTGGGAGAGGAGGATGATGAAAGGGAAAGCTTAATGCCGAGGTGTCGACAGTAGCCGCGTTTATAACAGTAAAAAAAAGCTAGAACAGACTGAGAGTCCATAACAGGTAACTGGTGAAGGAAAGTACATCCACGTGACAGAATATTACATAGCCATTAAAAGTATCATTTTGAAGATGAGGTGATGGGTTTGGCTGTAGACATGGCACTTTTCCTTGAATGTAAGCTGCCGTTCAGTCGCGAGATGGACGATTAGTTTACATGTTGTTAAGAAAGGGAGGAGTGCTGCCAATTATAATTGAAGGATGCCACCAATTATAAGACACATCCAGATTTCGGAGATATTACAATGGGAACATCTTAGAATTTTCCTCTCAGAATCAGCAAAATATGGCAGGTCTGTCAGGCGTTCAGCCCCATTCATCTGGACGAGAACGTCCTTCCTCTGTGAAGACAGGAGGGAAACCAGAGGCCTCCAGTTTGCCGACCAAGCATCGAGACAAATAAAGGTCATCGCTCTGTTACCTAGATGGTTTTTACACCATAGATTTAATTCTGGCAAGTTCTCCTCATCTGAGAGAATGATAACATTTTCCATATAAGATTATTTTGGGGATGAATTTAAAATAATGACTTTGAAGCATATGTGAGCCCTAGAAGAGGGGATGAGGACGGTGGCTGCAGGGCTGGGGAGAATGGTGCCCTGGGGGAGCCTGCCAAGTGGCAAGCAGCACAGTGCTGGGGGAATATGGAGCCCCCACCCCGCCCTGGGCCACTGTCTTTTACTTGTCCCTCTGGTTATAAAAATAGCACTGACCTTGGTAAAAAAAAAAAAAAAAAGTTTAGAGTAACAGAGGACTAGAAATGAGAAAACACCCATAATCCCGTTATCTGGAGTACAATACCAGTGTTAGCTTGTTTCCATCTAGGTTCCAGGGTTTTTGGTTTGTTTTTGTGTCATTCCGTTTTAGGGTTTTGGTTTTTTTTGCTTTCTTTTAGGCAGTTGAGATAGTCCTGGCAAAGCAATGCAGTATCCCAGTTATTGATTTGTTTGGGCCTTTTAGTATGTGTAAGCATTTTTCGTATTACATAAAAACTCTCCTTATCATTTATAATGGCCACACGCATCCCACCAGGGGCCCCAGTAGTTTTTAGCCCTGGCTGTGGATCAGGATCACTTCTGGGGCTTTTAAAAGGCAAATAAGTGGCCCCATTCACAGGTTTCTATCACTTTTCGTGTCCTCTATCTGAAATCAGTGCAGAGGCCTGCCACATTACCTTAATGCTGGTCTTTGTGGTTGTCACTAAAGGTTCATGACTTTTCTTTTTCTCTTTTTTTCTTTTTCTTTTTTTTTTTTTTTTTTTGAGACCTAGTCTCACTCTGTCACCCTGGCTAGAGTGCAGTGGCATCGTCAGAGCTCACTGCAACCTCAAACTCCTAGGCTCGAGGGATCCTACTGCCTCAGCCTCACAAGTAGCTGGGACCACAGGTGCATGCCACCACACCTGGCTGATTTTTCTATTTTTTGTAGAGACAAGGTCTCACTCTTGTTCAGGCTGGTCTTGAACTCCTGGCCTCAAGCGATCCTCCTGCCTCAGCCTCCCAAAGTGCTAGGATTACAGGCATTAGCCACTGCACCTGGCCTATTTCACGATCTTAAACTGCACTGTGTTGAACATCCTTATATATATCTTCATGCATCTGCATAAATTATTAGGCATATTCCCTGACATGGATTTAATGGGTGAGAGGATCCAAGAACATTCAAGGCCTTTGATACATAAGGTGAGGGTAGAAGTCTGCAGGGGGGAGCCCCTGAGGCAGATGGCAGGGCAGGGCGTGAGGACGGCTGGAGACTGGGGGTGAAGAGAGACTGCAGGGGAGAAGGCAGGGGGTGGGGGGAACACAGGGCAGCCCCACAGTGGTGCTCACCATGCAGGGTGCTGGGGTGCTGACTGCACAGGTGTGGGGGGGGGGGTTCCCACCCTGGGCCAGTGGTGCGGTCATGGACCTCAGGTCACTGCAAAGTCACAGCATTGCATTTTGTTTAAAACAGGACACATGACAGATGTTAGCGTGCTCCTCTGTGTTCTGCTTCTACCTACCTTGTGACTTTGAGCAGGTTACTTTGCCTCTCTCATCCTCAATTCCTCTTCCATAAAATGGGCATGTAATCCCCCCTCCATGCAGGATTGTAGAGAAGCTTAGATAAGCCCTGCACGGCACCTGCCCTGTCAGCCCTGTGACGATTAGCATTGTCCCCCATCCCGAACCTGCCTCCTCTCTACTGAGAGGCCCCTCCAGCCTGGAGCAGGTTGGGGACAGCTCCCCAGCGTTGGCCTGCGAGGCGGAGATGGGCAGCTCCCCTTCTCCAGCGGGGTTGAAAGACCCTTTCCCTGGCTCGGAGCTCACTTGAGATTTCTAACCCCTTGGCCTTTTTTTTTTTCCTTTCCTACTGGAAAAAAATTCAAAATGCAGCTGGCCAGGGAGACTCTTGATCTTTAGTTTCTTTCCCCGGTCCAGGAGGAGGAGGAGGAAGGGGCTGCCTGC